GTACTTAAGAACTATAAATGTATATTTTGTGTTTAAGAAATCTTTCTTTACTAAGTAGTACATAACAGCAAAAACAATCAAATAGATCTCTACAATGTCATGGATACTTTTTAGAGGGGGGAAAAGGGGGAAAATGACGGGAGATTGTCTATTGTTATATTTGTTCCAAACGGCCGGTGGGCTTAGATGCGTAGGGCTAGTTTTTAACATTTTTAAGTATCATGTATACAACTGATCAATTTTTTTATTTGGCAGAGACCGTTGAAGAATACTCAAATTTAACGATTTATTATTGCAACAGGTAGAAGTTGAAGCACCTTGATTTATTTGAAAACCTAGAACTTCAGTCGATTTTATTTTCTTCTCATTATTTTCATAATATCGCTTGTTGTGTTCTTTGCTTTTTACAGCTAACGTTCTTCATTTTCTTCTTTCTTTAATTTTTCCGCTTGTCTCTTGCGCTGTATTCTAGTAGTGCATCTTTATTTTTCGGCATTTTATATTTATTTTTGTACAAACAAAATCAGTACGACGCTCTCACAACCGATGGCCATTAACTCTGACATAGCATTGAACAATGTCATAACCTAATTGCGCGCACCTGTAACTGTGTGAAACTCTGAAATGCACGCGCACCTGTGACGTCATCAAAACATTGTGCACTTTTGCCTAAATTTGAGATTCTACTGTGGCTCAACTACAAATTCCAGTTTTCAAAAAAAAAAAAAAAAAAAAAAAAAAAAAAAAAAAATTAGTTTTGTAATGATCTCCTTGAACTATCAAATAAGCCATAAACGAAAACTATAGCTTTTGAGATTTAAGTGTTCTGCTAAGGCATATTTTGCTTCTTAAATTTTTGTTCTTGAGACTGTCATTGATAAACGTAGGCTACATTAAAAAATCTGATGTGTACACCACATGACTTCCTTGTACGGATTATTAAATTATACGCATTTTTTCTTGCATTTCGTTCAAACGTATTGGATTGAATAAATCTACTTCGTCGACAGCACATAAACCACATAAACCACAGTAGAATAAACGTATTCTTTAAAATTCATTCTATTTGTTTATCATAGCGACATTCTGGCGGCTAGGTTCACTTAACAGTATTATATTTCGTTCATATCATAACTCAGAATGCACAAAATTTACATCATTTAAAGAATTATCTGATCGTTGCCACATGTTCTATTCAAATACTATAATAAAGCTAGAACGATGTCTAAAAGAAATTAAGCAAACAAAACAAAAAAGAAACAGTTTTTCAAAGACGATTGAGTATTTCTCATTCAATTAATTCAATTCTCACTTCGCGACAAGGCAAAAATACATAAAAACTCAAAATATCTGTATTAAAAATTACAAAGTAAATCTTAAACACTTATTTCCTCGAAAAAATTCCAGAAAGGATTAACATGATTTAATTCGCAATAATAAATGAAGGCGTTATCTTTGTTGTTGCGAAGCTACGTTTCTCTAGATTGGCAACAAATCCACTATCCTGCTGTTTCAAATGTAAACAATCAATGGCCGCCATCAAGAAAAGTATTAGGCTTAGAGGCACTTAAACAACTTTAAAATTGTTGATAATTCTAAAAATATTGCATAGAGATTTACTAAAGGCATAAAAACCTTAACCGGAAGATAAAAACAACATAATTCAATCATTTTTAAAGTAAAAAAAATGTACAATTTACAAACATAAAGAAACTGAGATCACTGAGCCGGGTAACAGAGGGATATATATATAAATATATTTATATACGTTTGGTGAGGCCGATTGCAACCAAAATACGAGGTGCACATCTACATGTTATAGCAGTCCTATATACAAAATCTCAACGTTCTGAGGCTACTCGTTTTTGAGTTATACGAGATACGTAAGTACGTACTTACGTTCGTACAGACGCCACGAAAAATTCTCTTCAAAATTCCTTTTAAAGCAGTTTTATAATTTTTTTGAAGGAAAAGAGTATTTAATCTGTCCTTACGTACAGATATCACGCAAAAACATCGTTAAATCGCATTCGATAGCGGTCAAAATGGATATTTTCGTTGAAATATCCTGCCTGAAACTTTTCGCGATTACAATACTTCCTTTTTATTTCGTATAAGGAAGTAAAAAGGCAGCATAAGGATATTATTTTTAAATGTTATTAAATTAAAATTTTTTCTTCAAAACTAAACAGAGTTTCAATTTCCCTACTTGCCGGGTTCACATTTTTCGTAGTTAAATGATTGCTTATTAAGAAACGTGACAAATTCGGGGACAGGTGGCAACATCAGGGACCGCCCCTGAGGAACCGCCCAAAACTAGTATCTAAAATACTTTTTTGCTGACCACAGAAAGAAGAACCCTCTTGTTGCTCTGGGCAATGCACATGTTTTTTAATCACCTCCATTAACCAAATATTTGTTTTTAAGAAGAGGGGAGACATACGGAATAGAAAACACAAATACACTTCCTAGGAACGGAAGTAATTCATTGAGCTGTTATAATCCGTAAAATGCGGATAGACGCTTTCACCAATGGAGATTAGCTACTTCAGTCCAGCGAAGTGGCGGGGGGTTAAACATCCGTGAAAATGTAACACATATGTCGTACCATTTGAGAGTTTTTTTCTTTCTTTTAGGGAACGATTTCTCACGTTTTCCTGAAATTAGTTAAAAAGCGATGTTTATCCCTCCCTAGTTCTTGTTATGATGCACTGGAAGGAATTTTTAACATATGTTACTACTAGAATACGTTATTTTTAAAAGACAGTTAAAAAAAAAATCTGAAAAGTTTCAGATTTTCAATTATGTCTAAAGGGACGGTTTTTTTAACATTTTGTGTGTTACCTTTATTTATTGATTATCATATTCTTCGCACTCAAACCATAAAATTCAGTTCAAGAGCATATCGCAAAATAATTTTAAAATGAGCATATCTTTAGAATTTCCGATACAGATTATAGCGCGTCGGAGATAAAGATGCTTTTTCTGTACAACGTTGCCACTGCTCGCTTTGAAATCCTTGAGTTTGTTAATCAAAAAATCGTTAAAGTTTTACAAAATAGGAAATCGATCATAAAACAAATTTCAAATTTCAAATTTGGGTCCAGATGCCCATATTCGGAGGAGGATTTACGTTATTCAAAATTTGATGACTCTAGGTGCCGTTGTTTTATCATAATGCAAGAAATATACATACATTTACTCATTATTTAATTCCTTTAAATATAATACAGGGCGATCATATTTGGTGGCAACAATTTGCAAAGTGAAACAACGGCTTGTAGTGAATCGACGCAAAATGCCAAAGCGAAATTAATAATCCTTCTGGGCAAATTGTCTCTTTGAACTAAATATATATTTGTTTTTAATATTAGAATTTTGATAATCTTTACCTTATTAATAACAATTATATAAATGCCGGTACTCACATTAATAAGATGGCTAGGCCTGCCGGTTCTTCTACAACTGTTCTGTGTTTGAATGCAGGCTAATAAGAAGTCACAGTCATATTCGGCTTTAAATACTTCTTTTGTACTATCATATACATCTTTTAATACCTTCTTTGTTGTTATAGCACAGTCATATATTGCTTTTAATACCCCTTTTGCTGCTAGAGTGAAAAATCAGAGGTAAGATAACTATTAATAAATTTCATAAAATGCCGGACTTGGGAGAACAAGTGACAGACGACTGCCATGTGGATTTCAAATCTCTTGACATTTTGAGCTACCGTAGAGTGTACGTAGTTAATTTGAATTTTATTTTTAGCTTAGTGGGACCTTAACCCGAATAGGCTCTTTGTCACGAAACGGGATTTTGCTTTCTCCTCTATAAACGGCTGTATCACCTTTAAAATTGTTGTCACCAATACTATCGTCGTGTATTATTTTTCAAGAAATTAAATAATTAAGTGGCGTAAATGCGAAGAACATGATGTTTAATTAATTAATCAAAAATTAAGGGAGATAATGTTTTCGATCCAAAAATTCGATAGTGTGTTTTCAAAGAATAAGCACGAATGAAGATTTCCACAACACATTTTTATTTTTAGAATGATGTTTGTCTGAAAGTTTTTTTGTCTACGATAACTCGTATAAAAAATTTTAGGAATTTCTGTGTTTCGTAGTTAAGCTTTCTGCAGTCACATAAAGATTTGATTAGATTTTGGGTAAAACTAGGCAGTGGTACTTTAAGCTGATAACAATTTTTAATGGGCAAACGGAAGTGATACTTTACATGAAGGCCATAACAATTTTTAAGGAAAACTATATTAAAATAAAATCTAAAATTTTTCAATTTTAGTATTTAATATTTTTATACCATACTAAATTTTAGCTAAAATTGATAAAACGGAAGTGGTGCTTGAAGCTCTGAACAGATTTTTGTGAAAAAATATTATAACATAATCTAAAATTTCTTGAGTTTGGTATTAAAAATCCACATTTATTTGAAAACAACATACAAAATCTTGACTATATATGGTAAACCAAAAGAAGTGCTTTACTTGGAACTCTGAATGGAGTTTCGTGGAAGATATAGAATTGCTAAAATAAGAGTTTGGTAGACAGGTTTATTAAATCTTGCTCCGGTGACTGGTGACTATATTTAAACTTGGATTTCAGGCAATCAATCACACTCTAAAACAATAACCTTTGTTTCAAGTGTGATTTCAGGTTTCAACCAGACGTAATATTTTATTTAAAGCTCGTTGCTATTTAAACCACTGAAATTGGCGAAGTCATGTACCGGCCACATCAGATTTTTTTAAAATCCCTTTCTCTTCCTAGTCGCATAGTTGGATATCACCATACAAAAGTTGGACATCTCTGATGTGCAGATTTAATTTGGGGTTTTCAAGAAATGTCTTTCGAAATTCTTCACATCTGCTTTGATTTAACTTTTGCTTGCAGTTATTTTTTAAGTGAAAATAGCATTGTTTGTAAAGTGATCACTTATCTACATTCTTCTAAAATATTTTTTTTCGTTCTTTTTCTCCACAGTGAAAACTCTCTCAGTCACCATACTCGCACGTCGACTCCCCATTTGTGCGTAGGCAACAGTCACATCGTGTCTCCTGGACAGCACACGGCAGCGGCAAGATCTCCACCAGCATCTTCTCAGCCGTCACTCTGTGGACACCATTTCGGCGATGACATGAATCGAGATTTCCACTTCAACCCTACTAAACCGATGGACGAATTAGCTGTAATGGCGATGGTCAAATCGGAACCCGGACTTTACCCATCGGCCTTAGTCTACCCGACAAACACGTCTGCCTATGATGCAGCGGCGACTTTGTCCCATTTGCATGCCGCAGCGGGCATAAACCATGCGTAACATTAGCAACTGTTGATTGCGCATGGTATATTTTTATTGTAAAGATAGTTACAATGGATTGAAGAATATGTAACATTCGAGTGATTTATGAGCTTACATAGAAGCATTTTAAGCTTTCTGAAGTGCACAAGCTTCGTGTGTCTTAAACCTATTCAAGGATATTAGCATTTTGTGAAAGCACAGTAGTTTCAGATTTTAAAGTATATATAGTATTGTCTAGTGTCACTTCGGTGCATTCCAGTTGATGAGAACTAAACTTCTATATAGTGCAATATGTGAACCATGAGGTAATTTTTTAAAAAAAAAATGGTACCAACTAAGGGTTAGTTCAGATACTTTCCTAGTTTTAAATTATTTCAGCTGTTATTGTACTCAACAAAAAATGTAATTTTAAGGTGTCTCATAAAAATGCAACTCATCCTTTAGCTATATGTATTTGAAAAGAAAAACACGTGAATAAATATGGCTAGAATAATTGTTGGGAGAAGCAGTCATCTTCTTTCGATGCTGACTTCCACCCTTTCCACAATGTCCCCCGCATAAAGTGCATAACTTTTAGTCTTTTTAATGACTTGTAGTTTTCCCATGATTATGGCATTGTTCTTGTAATTTCTTTAACTTCATAAAAATAAAAAATATGCGGTGAAATCAAAAATAAAAAGGTTTCCATTGAACATCTCACAGGCACGATACAAAAACTACTCGCGTTGAGCAAGGGATGGATAAATCCCCCCGAGCAAAAAGAAGGGTTATTCGTAGAGGTATTAACATTTTACATAATGCAAATCAGAGGATTTATATGGGACACCTTTCTTCAAGCCCTTATTGTGCAGCTAAATGGGTAATTAACATTTTTTCTTTGCAACAGAGATGCGAAGATTCGAGAAACAACATTTTTGTTGTTCCTAATGTTGACATAATTTGCGAAATTCTATCTGATTTCTTAAAAGTGCAATTTTCCACATGGGAGAAAAAAACGTGCACTTTTGGCTTAGTGACATTTGCGCACATATTGAAAAGCAGAATGCTTACTTGCTCTCAAGAAACATTCATTGCTGAATAGCTAATAGTAGTCGTATAGTAGTTCAGTGGCAGATCGGCATAAAATAGCACTTTTAAAAATACCTATCGATAACTTGGAGCAGTGACTTGGAATATGAATATGCTTTACAAAATTGTAAGCTACTGGACTACACAGATTTAGATTTTAACAACATGTTTATTGTATTTCAATACGTATATGTTAACGTACAAAAAATGATAAATACCTTAAGGAGTCACGTACCTTTAAAAGATTAAAACATACCCAAAATGCAACGTATTTTAAAGTTCAACATCTTTGCAACTAGTTTATGAGCATAAAATATTACATAGTTAATTCCCCGAAATCCTCAATAGTGTATTTGATATTTTTGTTTTATATTCCCAATATTGAAATACCTTTTTTGGGGGGGGGTTCAAACACGTATTATTGTAATATGTATTGCGCTCAGCATTATATAAACAAATCAGAATTTTCAGCTGATTTTCTTTTTCAAAGTAGAAAAATAATGTACAATTAAAATGACCTACATTAAAAATAATAGAAATATATTTTTTTGAAAATAAGATTTTTAACTCAAAGGAGCAGTTTTCCCAGAAGGGCTATTAATTCCGTTTTGGCATTTTGCGTCGATTCACTATAGACGGCGAATCACTTTTCAAATTGTTGCCACTAAATATTAGAGTCCTGCGTTATATTTAAAGAAATTAAATAACGAACATTCTGCATAAATGTATGCATGTTTCTCGCACTGTGAAAAGACAATGGTACATAAAGACATCAAATTTTGAATAACATAATCCTCCATTCGAATATGATCATCTTGAAGCCCAAATTTAGAATTTGTCTTATTATCTTTTTCATATTTTGTCGAACATTAAAGAATTTTTGATTAAAAAACTGAACGATTTCAAAGCGAGCAATGGCAACACTGTACGAAAAAAAAAAAAAAAAAAAAAAAAAAAAAAAACATTTTTATCTCCAGCGCGCTAGACTGCGTATCGGAAATTCTAAAGATATGCTCTTTTAAATATTTTGTGATATTGCTGTTGAATTGCATTTATAGTTTAAGTGCGAAGAACATGATATTTAATAAGTAGCACACAAAACGTTAATTAACTTCCCTTTTGGCGTAATATAAAATCTGAAAGACTTTCAGATTTTTTTTTTTCATTTTCATAAATTCAATATCAATTATTTTTAACATAGTTAAAGATAATTTCTAAAACTGTTAAGCGAGAGGTATAGTAGTTGCTCATTTTAAACTGACTTGCTTTTAATATATCTCTACATTGTTAATTTAAAACTTGCATTAACATAAAACTGCAGATACCCATTGTGTGTACTGATGGCATGATTTTTTTGCATGTTTCAATTAAGGTGAGATTCATTTTATGTAACAGTTCTAAATTAGTAACACACAAAAAACATTCAGAACAACCGTCAGAGCAAGAATGGGACATTTCTTAACTCTTTCGCATCGGTAGAGGCCAAAATCTGTTTCTTTCAAACGTCTCAAATGCCCGTATAAATGAATTTTTGACGGAACAGATTTCCTTCCCTCATGCCGAGTAGAATGCTACAGCGTTAGCAATAACCTATTTAATTGAACTGATTACTTCTCTCTTGGCAATCTTTGTGTGGTTTCACCCACTGTCTGCGGTTTGTCCTTAAGACGGGATGGCAGCTGCGAGCATCAATAACTAAACGTTGACATTAAACAAAGGAGAGGGAAGGTGCATCCAAATAACAGAGCTACTTTTAGTCGCTTCAAAAGAATGACTAGCATGCCGTTTAACCAATGTCTTCCTAAACCGATGAGCCATGCACAAACGTGATGGAGTGGAAGCATCAGGTAGAAAATGAACTCAGGCGTTCCGACGACTTGCCGATGTCTGAATGCTCGGCCGTTTCGGGTGTCTTTGTTGTGAAAGAAATAAGAAATATCACAAGGATGATTGATTATTACTGAAAGGCTATGCGATAGTGTCACCTGTTGTCTATAACTGTTTGCACTTGTTAGAAAATTTCATGTTCCTGCAAGAATGATGTGCGCAAATGCCACTTATGCGGAAATGTCACATCACTGCACTATTCTTATTCGGGTTAAAATGCCGAGAACACTTAGATGTAGTAAGAATTATAAATGAAGAAGAACACTATTTTAGATGTAATAAGGGCTGTAAAAGATTTTTGTAAAATTGCTTTTCCCTAGCTAATGTATGAATTTGTGTAGCTGCTTTGTTTTTATTTGTAAGAAAAAAGAAATTTAATGCAGTTGAAGTAATTATGAATCATGTCGGAATTTCTTATCAATTATGTACATATTCTGGGTGCAACCAACTGATGAAGAAATGGACTAAAGTAATTTGATTCTCTAGTTTGAAACCTTCAACTATTAGTTTCATTATTTGTACGTATATGTTATAGCAATAAGTATAGTACTGAAATAGCTGAAACTTATTTTCGAATGACGAAAAACATTTTTAACATTTCCTTGAGAATGTCATTCAGAAGTTAAGTTTCTTTGCAAAGAATGTAACTGTTTTGATTTTATGATACAGTACAAATTCTGTAATCTGGATGTCCATAATCGGGATCCACAAACTTTACGCACTCGCGTAAAGAATGCGCATGCGTTGAAAGAAATGTTTAATAAAGTAAACAAATAAATAGTAAGCTTTTTTTTTTTTTTTTTTTTTTTTTGTAAAATTTGATACCTTTTAGATCATAACTGCTCTTTATTTCATAAATTACGGTTTCACATTTTTAATTGTATAATTTCTGCATGCCATCTTAGATTTAAATCGATGATCTATAAACCAGAAAAACCCTAATCCGGAATCGCTGAAGTCCCGACGAGTCCGGATTACGGACTTTATACTGTAAAAAAATTGTAGACAATTTTTCTCTTGATCAGAACAATCAAAATTTCTTACGATATATTCTTTTTATTCACAATAGTTATACACTATTTCAATGTTATAAAATTGATATCTTTTCAGAAAATATGTCGAAATTATTTAAAATTTGGAAAATATTGTTAAACAGGCATCTGAACGCGATGAAATTTTCGTCACCCATCCCGCCCTTGCTTAACTTCTTTTGTGTTCTTTAAGACAAAGAGGAAAAATTTCCTAAAATATTATTTACTTTGTAGTACAAGCAAAAAAAATTAATCCAAAATTTAATCTTATGAATATAATTTACAACTATTGGTTAAGTAGTACACGAACTGTATTATTTAATTACATTAAAATTTGTTTGAATTACCTCTTTGAAACAGTATTTTTTCCTATAAGTTTCGTAAAAGGAAATTGGTTTCTATTTATGTGTGACACATACGAAAAATAACAAGATATATATGCAGCCCATATAATTATGTCAAATAAAGCCCAGGGAAAAAATACCGGTATTAACGCATTAGCACAACCACCTTATTTGAAGTTGCGCCACATTTTAGAATATGCCAGACTCCAGAACCACGCGCATAAGCTTTCTTCAGGCAACCAAGCCAAGCTCATAACAGCTCTTCATTCAAGCAACGTCACCATTATCATATACGTTCTTTTTGTTGCACTCAAAGTTCCAATCGTTTTTATGGACAAATCGTCATATTTTTTGCCTTAAACTAAATTTTAGGATGTCTGAGTTCCAAATGAAACTGTTTCCAAAAAGTTTAACAGTTTTGTTTTCATATGAGCCTTAAAAGTGAGGATTAATTAATTTTATTTTCAAACGAGCTCTATTGGGAAATGTTTCCCCATTTCATTTGTAACACTTCCTCTGTTGCATATAGCTTTTCCTCTGAAGTGATTTTATTGGTAAATGGTATTTATTCTCTTTATTAATTTAAATTTTTATTTAGGCTGTATTTGCAATTTTGTACTAGTATTTCATTCATTTTATTTTTCCTTACATTTATTGCAAATGTATTTTGATTCTTCATTAAGCAACCAGGACATGTCAAGTGTCTTCAGACTTAGGAAACTTCCTAAACCTATGATTCCACTTTACTTTTGTTATTTACGTTCCAGATCAATTTAGCCTTATCTACTGTTGAGGTGTTCCATCTTTGAAATCCGAGCCTTTCAGCCACCTTCTCTTTCTTTCCTCAAATGCCTCTCTTGGGATCAAAATTCTATCGTATAAGGTGAATTTTCCCGTCTCAATTTT